AACTGTCAGGAAAACAGACTGCTGAACCCATAAAAGTTGAGAAACCGAAAAATCGAGAAGAAAAATATGAAAAAGACACAAGACATGGATCTTACCTCGTCGCATGGGCAGGCCCTCTCTCTATCTCTCTCTCTCTTTCATCCTCGTGTCGCACGAGAGCAGGTAGACAGACGGACAGACGGGACAGACGACCCGTGGTGCAGCGTGATGCGATTCGATGCGATGCGATGCGATGCGATGCGATGCGATGCGATACGGCACGGCACGGCACGGCGCGGTGCGGTGCGGTGCGGTGCGGTGCGGTGCGGTGCGGTGCGGTGCGATGCGGTGCGGTGCGGTGCGGTGCGGTGCGGTGCGGTGCGATGCGGTGCGGCGCGGCGACGCACAATCGAAAGCGCGATGGTGAACGCCGCGCGAGAGCGCGCCACGGACGCGGCGGCGCGCACAGCGGAGCGCGACGAACTTGACTCTCAGCGGAGCAGCGGACCGTCCGACGAGCGAATAAAAACGGAACGTAGAAACCCGGCCGCTGCTTTCTTGCGGCGTCGCGCGCGATCCAGCGCACCGCCGTGCATTATAACGCCGTCCGACGTTTACTGTAATCCGGGCACACCCCCTCGGGACGGAAGGGGGGAAGGGGAGGGGACAGAAAACTGAGACCGAAACCGTTTCGCGAACGCACACACCTCACGAACGAAACACGGCACCACACACGCGGACTGTGACTGACTGACCGACCGACTTATCCGCGGAACAACGACGAATTCCATTCTACGCTTCACGCCGCCGTCGAGTTTGAGGTCGAGGTTGCCCGTCCGTGTATCTTCCCTCTCTCTTTCTCTCTTTCCCTCGCTACGTCACCCTCTCTCGCTCCTTCCTCTTTCCCTCTTCCTTCTTTCGCAAGAGCGGACCGAACTCCGGAGCGCTGCTCCGAAAAACGTTGCTCGGGGACGGACGGCGGAACGACGCGCGCACAGTCGCGAACGGCACAGCCAGCTGCGAGAGAAATATCCGAGAAACGCACCGACGTGTCTGCTTCTCTCTCTTTCTCTCTCCCGCCTCTTCTCTTCTCTCTTCTTCCTCTGCTCTATCCTTAATCTTCCGCAGAAAAACACAGTGGGGCGCCACGGGATGCGGCTGATACGTCCGCCTTATCTTCTTTATATTCCGCTTCACACGTGTGTCAGAGATACGCGTGCCAACGCGACGTCGTTGCAACGGACGTAACGGCAACGACGATGACGACGTCGGTGACGGCGACTGCGGATAAGACGCCGCGCCGCGCGCGAGTTTTCCAGAAGGGTCTATCTGCTCACGGAGTAGCGTTGTCTCGCGGCCGGCGGCCTCGCCGCTCTTCTCATCCTCCTCGGCTGCCGCAGCGGCGCGCGAACCTCCTCCTCGCGGGCGCTGCTGGACAGTACACGCAAGTACGTCGCGGCGGCGGCGGCGGCGGAACGTCCCGCCGCGCGCCCGCTTCGTCCCCGCCGCCTCCTCTTCCTCCCCCTCCGCCCTTTCCCCCGTCCGACTCCGCGCTCACGGCGAGAGCGCATATATGTATGCGTATGCCTGTGTCTTTCTCCTCTCTCTCTTTCTCTGTCCGACTCTCTCTCTCTCTCTCTCTCTTCCGATGCTTCGCTATCCTTATCTAGCGCGCCCGCTCCTTCTCCTACGTCTTTCGCGATCTTTTACCAACGGGGTCTATCCTTCTTCCGTCTCGCTCTATCTCACCGCGCGCCGCGCACGCACAGACACACCGTGCGAGCACGCTATTTCTCTCTCCTCTTTCTCCTTATTTTGTCCGTATGTGCATGCACACGAGCAAGCGTGTATACATTCTACGCGAGGACAGGGACGCAGAAGGGGGATAGAAACCTAGCGAGCAACGATGATACCACGACGACAATGTCGACGACGAAGAGAGAAAGAGCAAGCGAGCGTGTGTTTTGTGTGTGTGGGTGTGTGCGCGCGCGCACGCGCGCGCGCGCTGTCCGCCGAATCCGCGTTTTAAGTTCGGCGCGCGCGCGCGTCTATATATATGAGATATATATAATATGTATATATATATATATATATAATATGTGTGTGTGTGTGTATGGTATGTGTGTGTGTGTGTACGTGTGCGCGCACCTCTCGATTAGCGCGACCCAACGTGCGTGACGTCACAGCGCGACGACGTTACATCGCCGCTCTCCGGCCACGATTGTCACTCGTGGCGAGGATCGGTGTCGCGATCGTCGATCACTGTCGAACGGCAAACGAAGCTCCTCGCGCGGCCGTACGAATGAAACGGAACGGGACGAAGACAAGACGAAACGGAACAGAGCGGAGCGAAACGGGCGTGGACGAGCCACAGCGAGGAGACACGGAGACTCCAATGCTCAACGACGATGACGACGACAGGCGGGGAAATGGAGAGCGCGCGCAAAGGCTGTCGATACCATGAGACGACTCTGATCGTGTCACGGCGGGCAATATTATCACCTGGCGTCGCGGCTTATCGTGACGGGTAAACAATAAAACGGCGAAACGTTGTGAACGCGACGGACGGGCGCGAGCGACGCCACGCTTTGCTTGACGACACGCGCGAACAACCCGCGGTTGGTACCACTCGTGAAACGACTGACGACTCCCCGTCGTGCAACGACTGGCGCGGCGAACAGCGAGATGGGAAGTGGTACGCGCCGATAGGTGGCGCAGTTTATCGCGCGGTGCGGCTCCGACGATGATATTCCTCTCCGGGACTCCACGCTGCCGTCGTGTACCCCCGCGATTCATCGATAACACTCGGAGATGGCCGAGTGCGCCCGAAGCGCCGTGAGCGCGACCGATTCAATATCAAGTGCACGACCCTCCGGCCGCATGTCCGTCGCGCGCGAGGATAGACGGATGGGCGGACGGACAGACGAATGGCTGGACGGATAGATGGATGGATGGATGGATGGATGGTCGCGTGTATATATCGTATGCTTTGAGGACGTCGTGTCGCTTCACATTGCAGCGCGGCACGGCATGGTGGAAACTGACGGCGTATTTTTGCCGATTTGAATTTTTAATTTGAAACACTCAAGAATTAAACGGGGATTTTAAAAATTTTACGCTTTTTTGCGATTTCAAAATATTTCTTCTAGATTGACATTTTATTATATAATTATTACATTCTTATCGCGACAAGATTCGAATAATCGTAGTGATTTTCTATTCTACTTCCTTTCTATTACTTTTGTATAGGTTAAGAAGAAGTCTTAAACCCTCCGGATCAATTGGACGCTTCCCGACATTTTTGTCCTTTTTTTTCAAACTTTCGAGCAGGTCGTCGATAGTTTGTCCGTGATTATTTTTGATGGCATGATTCGTGATCGGCAGCAGCTTCGCAATGACCTCGACGCTGTTGAGGTTGCCATCAGTCTCTAAGATCGCCCGGTGAAGGGCGGTTTTACCGTCCACGTCCGTCAGGTTGGGGTCCGCGCCGTTGCGCAGCAACAAATCTACCATCTTGACCATCTCGCTGGACCTGTGAATATCAATCGCACGGTGCAGAGCTGTCGCTTCTAGGCAGCGGGTGCGCGAATTCACGTTTGCCCCATTCTCCAGCAGAAGCTCACACACATGGACATGTCCGCCTCGTGCTGCGTAATGCAGTGCCGTGTAGCCGGCAGAATCTAGCACGTCGACGAAGACACCCTTTTGAAGAAAATATTTGATCTGATCGATGTCACCGTCTAGCGCTGAAAAAATGCCGCAAAAAGACGAAAAACCTTTAAAGTAGTATAACACACAAAAAACAAAAAGTTCGTTTATAAATATATTGAGCATAAAATTTTAATCGTAATCTTTGAAAAATCTCATTCTTTTTTTTCATAGCTCAAAAAAATATCTTGTTTTTTTTCTGTGTTTAACAAAAATCAATTCCGATTGTCACGAAATTACGCTTACGTTTATATTTCTTGGTTTACCTCCTCTCTCCTGCGTTCTAAAATACCATGTGCTAGTAACATCTTTAAATCCATCATTGGATTTCAGAATATGATTTTATTTAGTTTTAATACTATAAATTGTAATATATCTATATGTAATATATCTATATATTTTAATACATATTTTATAGTTTCTTGTATTACAGAGCACATAAAATTGTATAAAATTTTATTTTGAATTCAAAATTAAATATCATTAAGTCATTCTACATATTAAAAATAATAAAAGTTACAATAAACAATGCAAAAGCAAGAGTGAAATATTAATCTTTATTAACCAATAATCTTAAAAATAAATATATGAATTTAACTTTCTTTTCGGATTTACACATTTTCATAATAAATTTTCTATAACCAAAAATCAATTTTTGACTTATATTAAGTTTTCTTCTAAACTATATATATATATATATAAATAATGAGAATAATCAACTAAATAAATTCAGTATTGGTAATCATGCAATCAAGAGTAGAAATGCATGATCATACCATTTATTCGCAATCTGTTTCTATTGTGCTTCTATCTATTTATACTTGCATCTTATGTACTTAATAAATCTCACATCTCAACATTCACTCGCATTTACCTGCTTTCCAAATCCCGCGTTCGAAAAATACTTCGTTTATGGTCTGGGAAACATGATACATATGTCGTGGGACTTGACATTGCTCGTTGGAGTTATGAGAGTGCGCCATTGTTTATTATACCTGCAAATAACTGTTAAAATTTCTATAAGTCTAATTTTTTTTTAGTTAAACATTCTGCACTGTTCATCTTTCCTCTTTCTCTCTCCACGTTGGAAAGATAAACAGTGCAGAATGTTTAACTAAAAAAAAAATTAGACTTACAGAAATTTTATATCAGGCTTATAGAAGAATTTATTTAGTTGATTATTAGAAGTTTAGCTAAAAAGACTCAATCTTTATGTAAATTTAACAAGATTTGTACGAAAAAGAAAAAAAATCACTTCGAATTCACTCAGAGGAGATGAAGATTCTTGGCGTATATAAATTCTACATATGACATAGAGTGCACTTTATCAATATATTTATTTGTTACATATGAGATAAATCATGTACAACATCCAATCATACATTAATGTATGTTTTAGCTGTTGAACACACAAAATAGGATTTTACGAGATTATTATTAGCTTATACATAAAATTCGTCACGTCGCCTAGTCGTGTAAACGTTACGCAGAGTAAACTGTACCAATTAATCAGACTATCAAATATATCATATTCCTTTCATTCCCATCACCAATTATAATATTTGATTTTACTTAGATACGCCCAATTTATAATTGTTATACTACAAAATAATATGATATCTCTTTATAATTTCACTCGATTTATAAATTTCTTATGAATACATGAAAGATCAGATGCAACAGTTCTTTAAATTGACATTTATAATTTGCAATAAGACTGACATGTAGCTCAAGTAAAAATATACCATGAACATTAGACATAAACATTGTATAGATTTTTCTCCGTTCGATTTTACGCGCTTAAACTCTCTGAACGATATCTTGTGTATAACAATAATATAATGTTATGCTAAATCATCTATTAAAGCACATGGTGGGAAAAGATCTTATTATATATATTAGGCGCTACTAGCTAACACTATACTATAGATATATAGATATAATATATAAATAGTATTTGCATATATAATAAAATTTCGTTCTCCACAAATATAAATAGACACAATTTGAATCCAGTTTGGACCAGTTTGGTACAATCTGAATTACATAGCGCCAACTTGGGCCAATCTGAATTCTAAGAAACTCTCACATCGTAGACTTCAATAAAGCATAAAAAATCCATTTTTCATACAAGGAGGTAAAGATATCACAAATTATTGTATAATTAATACTTTCATATTGCATGCGATATGCAATCTCAATATATATTCCTTTGATCTAACAAAATTTCCGCATCTGTTGAAATTATCATCTACAACGCGATTATTTTGCACGCCGCAAAAGTACTTATCTTCAGGATTATACCCTTCAACAGTCTTATCACGATTATATAATTTTGCCGCAACATTTTCAAAGTTGTAAAAGAAGAAATTCAACATTGCTGTGTGACATAAAAGAACCGACAAAGAATTCTTCGAGCGATTTCTCACAAGGTGCAATGTGCAAGTTATTTTCTGAATAATCGAAATATAAAATATTCTAAAATGAAATATTATATTTTAATTATTCAGAAAATAAAACTGTCTCAGAAATGACTTGAAAATTAGATGATTCATAATATAAAGTTTTCCACTTGAATAATCGAAATATAAAATATTCTATTTTATATTTTTAGAATATTACAAATCATCTAATTATATGATGTGCCATTATCTTCAAAAAGTAAAACCTTTTGTTTGGTCACATACACGTATCTAAATGAAACTTTGCCGAGTTACAAACGTAATTTTAGACACTCAGAATTCAAGATATAAAAGTAAGAACGCCAAGAAAAGAACAAGTTGCAAATCTTATCGATCCATCAATATTAATTGCTAGTTTGATTCATAAAGATGGATATAATATGTAAATTACAAGAGAATGTGTTTGGATATATAATATGCATGCAGTAAGGTCCATTCTTATAGCATTAATTTTCTCGCTGCAATGTCCAAAGTATCTCCGTTTCTCCGGTACTACAAATAACTCGATAGCCGAGCTCAGCTAGAGCGTTTATGACGGAGAACGGCGTGCCTGAAATCAATTTCGCATTGTAAATTTTTAAAAGAATACTGGAGTGAAATTTTCTTTAAAAATTTCACTCCAGTATTAAGATTATTATTGATTATTATTACTATGATTTAACAGGTTTTCTCTCTTTCTAAACTTTAAAAACTCTAATTAATATCACAATTAACAAAATATTTTATTATATTTTATTAGTAATAATAACTATTGCATATACAAAACGCAGCTCCCGTAAAAGATCCAAAATTTAACTGGCACGCACACAAGTTCAACATATTTGAAAAATTTATTCAGTGCATATTTCTATAAATCATAGGTATTATAATGTATCTTTGATTAATAAACAAATGAAAAATGCGTGATATATTCCTATTATAATTAATGTTCTTTTATAAGTCATTAACGATTTTGTAGTTGACGATTATATGTTGATAATTGTAATAAAAATCTAAAATTTGAGCCGTTTATTAATAATTTTATACAATCAAGGCTGATATATTTACTTCATGCATTCTGACAAAATCATCAATTTTTTCTAATCTCTTGCATTTATTTATTAATACATTAACACCGGCGATTCTATATAATTAACGGAGATTCTATGATCAAACTACCGCTATATTCTTTAACATATATCCACGTATACGTTCACAAAAAATTAACGTCCGCGTATAAAAATTGCGTTAGTTAAGACAGATCTTGAATCTTTTCAGGATTTTATAGAGCAATCCCCGTACAACAGTTGGCGTCATCGAAATTCTGCGGAATTAACCTTTTAGCATAATTGCATTCACGATATTTGTACTACTAGGAGACAGCGGGAAACGGCTGCGTAAGGCCGATATTTCCTTCGTTGGCAAACCAAACACTGCGCAATCGGTCGCAAACGGAGATGCTTTTACACCGATGTAATAGAAAGTGTCGTCGTCGTCGTCGACGGCGTTCTGCTTCTTGGACGTGGTTGTTGCTGCCATTGCGCTAAAAGTATCGTTATACCTCGTTGTGCTTTACTTCTAGAAGAAAAGCAAACGTGATGCACGTGAGTGACGATCGGAGCCGTTTATCTCGAAAGTGATGCAAGAATCACCCTTCAAGCAGATCCTTTATCAAATTTAATGGGAAGACTCAGAAAACATCTGCGATCGTGAAGAGCTTTTATCGTCGTATTTTTGTTCTTCGAACAATTATAGTAACGCTCGAACAGAATAAAAAGGAAGTTTTTCTTTAAACTCCCTTATTGCAGCCAATAATAAATATTGACTTTTTAATTACTTTAAAAATATATATAACTTCAGAATTCATGCACCTCAATAAAGAAAAAAAATCTAACAAAACTTATATAAAATTTTTAGAACAATGAAAAATACTCGAACTATTTTTCTAACATTGAACACAGTTATTTTAACAAGCAACTATTCTGAAGAAGATTCTGAAAAGATTTGATTAGTGTCACTTTCAGGATAACTGGCACATTCCGATCGAAAAAAATGTTTTTGAAGCTGACACATTAATGTGATACATCTTGAATAAAACACAAACAATTAGATGAGCAAAGTATTGAAAGAAATGATAACAGAATATAACATGTATTTTCTCAGGATTTATCAGAAAACACAAGAGAAAAAAAATGAAGACATGATAGAAAATTATAGTTGGGACTCCTATTGATTTCCTCTAATAATGCCTGAAATGTTGCAGATAACTTTTAAATAAATTTTGTTTGTATTAGAAATAATATTAGCACAGGTACAAATAATGCTCTGCAAATAATAACTTTAATTGTAAGACTATGCTACGAACAGAAAAGCTTATGTATTTTCCAGTGATACATAAAATTTTGAGGCAGAAAATATAATATTATTAAAGCTTTGTAATATACGCTTATATCAAATATATTGCAATTTTTCTGCAAACAATTCAAAAATTCTAAATAAAAATATATTTGATGTTTACAAATGTTTGATAAATGTTTGTAATTAATTATAAACATATCGCATGTATAAATAAAAATATGTAAAATATATAAAATATTATTTTTATTCCCGTTACACATATTATTTTTTAACCAAATATATTGAAAAGATGCATCAAATTTTTATCATACATTATTACAAATTGTGAAAAATTAAATATTCTTAAAATTTTATGCCCATCGGAACATACGTGAATCACGTAAATTATAACATGCTTTATTGTTATCTATGGCTGTAATGGAGAAAACAAGTTATTACATACGCATGCAAAATAGAAAATTACAAAGAAGACGATTATCTAATTATATGTTTACATGTATCATTTAAAATATATACTGGATAAATATAAAAAACAATACGATACAAAAAACATACGATACAAATTGTAAAATATTTTGTCCCTTGTCATATTTTCTGAGTGTCAGATGTGAATGACTATTAATGTATACATGACGTAACGACTTGTTTTCATTACGAACATGAATTAAGATTGTTAAATCAAATTAGATGAGTTTTATTTCAGAAGCATTAGAATAGTTGTGCTCAATGAACATCACATTTATACTATGCAATGTCAAGTGCTCTTGAAATAGCGTTAAACTAATTTTCGTGCCATACCAGCTTTTACAACAGTATCAGGTTCGGGTTCTGAGAATTCTTTTCTCATAGTCCACATGTACTCATTATAATCTTGCTTAATGCTAGTACTGGAAGATGCGACGACTTTGTAACCGAGTACTTCTAAAGCAGTCAATATTATGCAAGGATGTTGCAAATATACTATCGTTGAATCGTCGCAATATCCTATAGAGGAAAAACGACTCAACTGCTCTATATCAGCCGCTATAACATAATTGAATATTACTTGCATCTAAAATCTTCATTTGTTATCGTACCTAATATTTCTAGCTAAAATATCGTCCATTCCAATCTCCAAAATATGTTCCGTAGCATAGATACTTTATCCATAATATACATTATGTATGCTACTTTGTAAAATCCATATCAAACTATGGACTAGGATTGAAGTAAGAATAGAATTTTATCAGTTAGAACAAAGTTCTAAATTCTAAATTTGAGATTAGTTTTCTTTCTTTTGATTGGTTAAATTCTAATCTAATCTCAACCCCATATTTGTAATCTGATATGCCTAATGTATTTCTATTGTCTGTGATAAAAAAATTACTAAAGAAAGATGATATGAGGAATGTTGAGCATATAATTTATTTCAAAGCGGCAAGAAATAGCATATGCATTTGTGTAAGGGCAAGTATGGAGGAATTCATACCTTTAAGCCCTGATACTAAAACCCTCCAGGGATATTTATGACTGTACGATGCTAGGTTACCACGTACTAGAATGTATGGCATCTGTAATGTCAGCTAAAACAATCTGCAATAGACGACACCCTATAGATACATGAGATACACATTTCAATAAATGTGTCAATTCTTCATAACTGCTAATTCAATTCTTTTTGGATATATATTGTGAAAATATTCGGATTCTGATTAAAATTGTAAAATTTGGATTTCTGTTGTCTTTTCTAGGAAAAATTGATTAAATTTAAAAAATTCCATAATGGATGTTTTCCAAGAGACCTAAATCGAAATTTAATTATATATTAACACGAGTTCAATTATATCGCCTACTGTCCCTGTTTATGCGAATGCTAAAACGAGGATAAGGAATAGATAATTGCGTTGATTTACATTTGCATCGATTTACATTTCTTGCTGAAAAGCACATACGAGATTTATTACTGCATTATTCAATGCATAATTTGAAACATAATTATGAAAGTACAAGAATCTTAACTATATCAAAATTAAATATTGATATAATATCAGATAAGGTCCAGAGAGTTTAGAAAAATTTACATCACATCGTAAAATCTCATTGCAAAATTGATAAGACAAATATTTATCAATATTACAGATAAAAAATGATATAAATAAAACAACTTTAAAAGTAATAATTAATACTATTTTTTTATAATTAATAATGATGATATATAAAAATATGAACATTTTTTATTGTAATATATTCAAATATCAAATATAAACTTGATAAATTTTTTCATCTAAGCATATCTAAATACATATTCTAGTTCTATAACAATGATTCAGTGAAATCAAAAATAAATTGCTATATGAATCAGCATCTCACTCTAGAAAAATTAGAAATAATCAATAAAGACTGGATAGTAAATAGTTAAAAAATTAATAATTTTTAACTTAACTTAGTTAATTTTAAATAAATTAATGTATAACTTTAGCTAATTATTTTTAAAACACATAGACTTATTAACTTTTTTCTAAGTTAAAAATATACCAATATAAAAACAAACGTATTCCCATATAAAACAATATTTCTTTGTTATTTCATATAAATTTAATTTACAAATAAAATATTAAATTTATTTTATGATATTGTAATTATTTTACTATTGAAAATGTTTTAATTTTAAAAAGTAATATTTTAATTTAACATAAATGCTTTTTAAATTTTTCATTTAACTTAAGTCAATTTAATTTTAACAATTTAATTTGTTACTTTTAATATAAATTAATTTTATAAGTCATTAACTTTAATTTAACTTCAAAAAATAACTTACCTAACCTTGTAAATAACGAAGTCGAATATTATTGAATCAAATGTGACTCAGAAATGTTTACTTAATTTGACACACCTATATCATTACGGACTTTCCAATTACTATTGATATATATTATTGATATACAGGATGTCCCAAAACTTTCAGATTAAAATATTACGGAAAGAATTAAATAAGTCAAAAAATCAATAATAAAAATATTTGTTATTCATTTCGAATGACATTTTTCGAGATAGTAAAAGTTGAAAAAAAAGCATTGACCCTTACCGATATGCGAAGAGGAATGTGGTAGGTTCTGAAAAAATGAGCGGCGTACAGTTATGTCGTTTCAATATTCGAGACTATTCTCGTAATATTAATAAATTGTCTTAATCCCTCTTAATGTTTTCCGTTTTTTTCTGAATAATGCAGGTTTTCTTTTACCACAAAAATCACCCCAAATATATTGTACTTCAAATCAATTCACGAAGGAGAGTGAGTAGCGACTACAAAAGTACGCAGTTCACGGCAACCTCCATGAGAATATTGTCCATAAACGTAAGAAACATCTAGATGTGAAAGTATAGAACCTTGTATTCATGATGCTAGAAATCGATTCGAGATCTCAAATAAAAAAAGAATTGATCGGTTGCATTTAAAATTCGGTCAATTAGCTAATATAATTGATCAATTTTTTTTTTGTTCGAGATCTCGAGCCGATCTCTAACATCGTAGCACACAGCTTGGATTGTCGGTATCTCGACCAATTTAATTCGTGTTTTTAAGATGATGACGTCACTCGAGACGCGAGTCAGACCGCACAATCTATAATATACGTGACATGAACTATATATTTTCAGTATTGGCAGTGAATATTGGAACACAGCCATATTGGAAGTAAGAGCCATCGCATACAAGATGTATAAAATATGAATTTTTAGCACAAAGTCGTCACATTGATTTATGTAACGTGCTAATTGTCTAATGATCTTATGTTGTGTATACAACTCATTTTATGTGATGATCGAAAGTACACTTTTGCGCACAATGCATAACGCAAAAAAGGTGAACCAATCATAATCCTCCATTTCTCCACACTTCAATGGAAATGAAAGACTCTGATTGATCTGATTGGTTTCTTATACGTTATACATTATATGTTAGGTAGAAATATTCCAGCCATAAGGAAATAAAATACGATTAGAAACAGAAATAAATATTAAATTTTGTAAATAAAAATTAGGAATAAATGTTAAACATAACACAATAAACACAAGTAAATAAATATAAAAAATATCTCTATTTTATATCTATTTATATTCATTTGACATAGCTTTTGTAATTTCTGTTTCCTAAAGTCTTGCGCAATGGAGGAAACTTTAGGAATAGAAATAAATATTAAATTTTAGAAATAAAAATTAAACGTAACGCGCAATGAATACAAGTAAATATAAAATGTAATTGTATTTTATACTTATTTATATTTATTGTGTGTTACTTTTAATTTTTATTCCCGTTCCTAATATTTCCTCTATTATGCGCAGGTCCTAATGTTGATTCCAAAATTTATTATTGGCTGCGTTCAACAGAAAAAGCAACTTTGTAAAACTCTTCAATATGATTGTTTCATACATTTAGATCCATGAGAAAACTATGAGCAAAAACCAATCATATCAAAGATTTTTACAACAGTTGCAAAATTATTTTTTCTGCTGATCGCAGCCATTAATTCCTGTTCTGGTCCTCCATTGTGCGCAGGACCTTAGCTATTTAGCGTGCAAATCGACACGAGTGCGCTGTGAATCGAGCAGAGTCGAGCTAGCGGGCGGACGGACGGACGGACAAACGGACGTGAGTGAGCGAGCGAGCGACTGACTAACTGACTGACAGGTGGTTTGACGTTTCGCTTGTCGCCATCGTCGCCAGCGACAGCGCGGTCTGCCTGCCTGCCATATTGTGCGTGATATCCAGAGACCGAGTGTCGTCCGCGTCGTGTCGTGCGACTCGATGACAGAGTGAGCGTTCTCAGAGCAACGAGTTCCGCGCGGATCGCCAGCCGCGTTCATCGTTCACATCCCTTGGCCACGGGCAGCGATCACGGCGAGCAGCCTTCTACCACACGGCGCCGAGTCACAAACGCGTGAGTATCACACGATCCTTCGCATTGTTGACATCGGATACTCCAGACTCCCTACCGCCGGTTATCGCCAGCTCGGCGATCCGATGTCCGCGGCGCGACACGTCCATCCGTCTGTTTCGTGAATGTTTTTATTTCCTCTTATCGTTATTTTTTTTCTCTCGGATCATCCAATCGTGAGGACAGAGATTAGGCTAACGCTAATTAGGCATAACGTAATTATGGGAGTGGACGGCATGTATTGTTGGTATTGCTTACTCAACGGATCCGCGTCTCGGAATTTGGAATGCTTCCGCGGTGACAAACACATGTCTCGTCGTGCGAGACAAAATTCGTCTCGATCTCGACTTGAAAGTTGTGTAGTTTTAATATATTGTTGCGTGCGAGTGTCGGTTCTATGACAGAGAAAATTTTTCCGAGGCTGTTTATGAATTATTCATAAATTTCAAACTATTTCACTAAAGCTTATTGAATATTATATTTTTTTTTCTTCTAAATTTAAAGAATCCTTATGATATATTTATAATACACAAAATAACGATAAAATAATGTAAAGTAATCTTGTAAATAACGTTGATATCTTCAAGCTTATTATTTTTTATTTATTTTTTCAATTGTTAAAACTACAATATAATTTTTTAATAGTATAAAATTACATTTTTTTATCAAGATAACTAAGATTGATAACAATTTAAAACTTTATTTTATTAATTTTGATAATTATTATTACGAAAATAAATTAGATTATTGATTTTGCTTTAAGTATTCTCACCTGTTGTTATGATGCTATGTATGAATCATATCTCAAATGAAACAAAAGATTGTGGGATATTCTCTGAAGTCTAAAATAAGCATAATCCATCTGGGATAAATCTCTTGAGGATAAATTTGAAAACAATAAGTTTACAATAAATTATGAAAATATTACAAGTTTACAATAAATTATAAAAATTTAATAGAAAATATCTCTTATTTGGGATAATTGATATTTCAATGACTACGATAAATGTGATACCATTTTTTTTAATGTCTTAATTGCAGGTGCAAAATGTCGACTGGTCCATATAATTATTCCTACATCTTTAAGTATATCATCATAGGAGATATGGGAGTGGGCAAGTCATGCTTACTTCATCAGTTTACAGAAAAGAAATGTAAGTAATAGAGAAAATATTACTTATACTTATATGTAATGTATAAAATCATGAATAAGATTTAAGTTGAACTAATTTAATGATTGACCATTTTTTTCTTATGACTCATCGTTAAAGGATGTGTTGCAATCCTGTATGTGTATAATTATATGCTTACAATACATTAAGCTATATATACTATGCATGACATGGACAATAATTATACAGCAGTACACTGACTTTTGTATTGGTATATTCATGATAAAAAATTAATTGTTAATCTGTGAAGAATAGTAGATGAAAAAATTATAATACAATTATAATGGACCTTAGAGATATTAAACTAATATTTCTGAAAATAATTTGACATTTAACTTTTTCTGTATAAAAAACTTTAGTACAACTCATGATAAATTGATAGAGATATTACAATTTTTCTATAAATTTATAATATTTATTAATTTTTTAAATAAATATAGTTATAAATATTATGTTATTAAATTATGTTATTAAATTATGCATAAAGTTATACTTTAAAAACTGTAAATTATTTTTTTATGTAATAGCTTATATATTCTATATATAAGTTATATATATATATATATATATATATATATTCTATATATATATAATAAATTAAAGTATTTATATAATAGTTTAAATTTAGTTATGGCAGACTGTCCACATACCATTGGCGTCGAGTTTGGGACTAGGATTATAGAAGTAGCGGGACAGAAAATCAAACTGCAGATATGGGACACTGCTGGGCAAGAACGATTTAGAGCAGTTACCAGGTAACGAATACAGTTTCTCAAGTAATAATTCTGCTTAATAAGTATAAAATTAAAAATACGTGAAATGCAAAAGAAAAAATATTTCTTCTTAGATCGTACTATCGCGGTGCAGCTGGAGCTTTAATGGTGTACGATATTACACGCCGTTCAACTTACAATCATCTCAGTAGCTGGCTGACAGACACAAGGAATTTAACAAATCCGAGCACTGTACGCATATTATTATACCTGTCACAATGCAATTACAAGAATTCTTTGTTTAATTGAATTGTGATTTGATCCGCAGATAACAAAAATTATTTTCCTAAAATATTTTATAATTAAATAATGTGAAAATAAATCAATTTTTGTGCAGGTTATATTCTTAATTGGTAACAAAAGTGATCTTGAAGGTCAACGCGACGTTACCTACGAGGAAGCGAAACAGTTTGCTGACGAACATGGTTTGATGTTTGTCGAAGCAAGCGCAAAGACGTGGGTATCTCTATTATTTTAAACAAAATATCACTTTTCAAATAATTTTAATTAATGAGATCGCGTGATCTAATTTCTCAAACAGCGGACACAATGTAGAAGAAGCTTTCTTGGAAACCGCAAAGAAAATATTCCAAAGTATACAAGATGGACGGTGAGTTTAACAATAATGATCTAAAACAAAAAATATTTATTGAATAAAATTCTATTATTTGAGAGTTATAAAATATAAATTATGAAGTAACACATATTCTAAATAATGTTAATAAATTAATTTTTTTTTCTTGATAGATTGGACCTAAACGCAGCAGAATCTGGAGTGCAACATAATCCCAGTCAACCGGGTCGTACCAGCCTCCAAGGAGTATCTAATGAACAGCAAGGAGGAAAGGATTCTTGCTCCTGTTAGGTCTTATTATTTGTTTGTATATAGATATATTAATTGATCGGTACTATTAATGCATATATAATTTGTACTAAGTGTAGCAGATTGTCTCGTAGCCTGTATCCTCCCTTTGATAAGCAAAGTCCACTTAAAAAAAAACAAAAGAATGAAATATTGTTCAAAATGTTCTCTTTTTAATTAGCGTCAATTTACAGTAATATGATGTTATACATACATGACACAATATAGAGACACATCGTAAAAATAATTCCGGTAAAATGTTACTGTTTTTGACGCGCAGTGAGTCAGTAATCTGTCGATAAAATGGCTTTTGTATGATTATTGCAGCTTATACTGTTTTCACATAAACTTTTTGTATATCTCATGCATTTTTGTAAAGCCGAGTAAAGAAAGATAATTCATTTAGAGCATATATAATAACACACATGTAGAAGCTGATTAACCTTTCTTATGTCTAAAAATTTTTGTTAAAACGTAAAGAACAAACGAATAGACACAAACGATAAGATTTACAACTAATTTATATCCGCATGGGAGGATTACATATTTGTTGTAACAAGTATAAGTTCTTGCTTTAAAAGATTTAATGAAAATTAAATCATGAGCGGTCAGATTTTTTCTCAATCACTTTTTATCCTGCTTTATTCGATAAGATATGCACGTTCATATACGAGTTTCGTGATTTCAGTTATCTTTCAAACTAATTATAGATGAAGACAAAAAGTAGGGATCAAAAATTGTCTTTTTTTTATTAATATATCTAAGAGATATATCTCTATTCTTGATGAAATGGAAATATATATACATATAATACATTTGACGTTTTTAGTGGCAAATTAAAGATGAAATTATTTGTCTTTTATTTGTGATATTAATGAAAAATTTAATTTTCCTTTGTAGAAGTTAAACTAGCAGATATAGTCATATATACATATATATATATGTTACTTGAATATTATATGAAACAATGTAGCTTAAAATATCACGCTCTTTAGCATTTTTTTCCTGTTCTTTTTTTACCCGCGGATGTATCTATACTTAACGTGTAATGCTTTTGCATTTTGTATTAGAGGGCAAAATTAGCAAAATCTTAATTTTCACATTATCTATTAAGGCCTCACACAACATGTAAACTAATTTAACATTAATAAATTAATTAGTGTGCTTTCTCGCGCACACTGAATTACATAAGCTGTATCTTGTTATGATTTGATGATACAAAGGTAATATTGATATGGCTGAAGCTCCATTAAGAAGAATAAAAGAGAAAACTAAATAAAACGCAGAAACGAAGCTTGCAACGGCCGGGATAATTTACGTTTTCTTCGATGTTGTGTGACTTGTAAACGATTTGTATTTGATATCGTAAGCAAATGCGAAGGATTGCCTCGATAATAAACTTGACCAAAATTTTATCGATTTGTTTGAATCACGGGCAATTATTTTACTACACACCCTCTATCGATCATATTCTACATCCAATATACTTGAAGAGGCAAAAGAAAAACAAACTTAGGATTATGTTTCTCTATTTTTATCGTATATCCAGCAGCGTTTGTTTGATGAAACAGAAATTCACTTACGGTTCTCTTACGGTTCTTTGTTATACTTTTGTATCTTGTATATACGAGTATAAGAAAATGCCAGGGAATAAATACTTCTACATGCTTTAACAAAGAGAAATCTTTGTTTTGTTAATGAATACTTTCCTAAGAGCTCTATTAATTCATTAAGATGAATATATACAGAGCTTTTATTCATATATCATTGTCTTTTACTGAAATTGTATGTGATTTTGTGGAATCTTCACTAGTTATAAATATGAATTCATTTCATTAGCTTGTTAATAAATTGTCCAAGATTTTTCTAATATTTAATAAACAAGAGTAAATATAAGATTATATAAGAGTATATATAATGCATGAAGATACTTTTTATTTTTATTTAAAACAAGTATTAAAGCTGTAACAGCTTTTTCTTTCACATTTGATATTAATATCTTTCTCTTCATTTTTTTTTGTAATTTTTTGACAAAATACATTATTTCATGATTTATTATTTTTAAGATTTATATATTGCTTTTGCAATTCTTATTATGAAACTAATAAATTTTAATGATGTAAAAGTTTTGATGAAGAGAAAGATAAAATAAAGAGATATAAAAATAATAACATATAATCATTGAAATTGTTACATTTTTGTTTGTATTCAAATGATATGATTTCTGCAGCATAATTTACTTATTTTTTTATATTTATATACTTATATATTATATACTTTTATATATTATATACTTTATTTTTCACAAATAAAACTTATGTAATAAAAGATTTAACTTTATTTTTATGAGATAAAATATTTTTATGACATTTCCTAGAAATCTACTACAAACTTTATCCATATAATAAAGAAAGAGATATATATACATACATACATTCAAATGTTAATCAAGCTTTGTTAATAAAAATTTCTCATTGTGCTTCCTTTCAATTTTCATGGATGATAGCTATGTTTCAATGAATATTAAGTTGTAAGTAAAGAGTATAAATGAAGATTAAAATTAATTGATATTAAAAAAAAGATTCGAAATTGATCTGAAGAAATAATATAATATTAGTGAAATACGCATATTAATTTTCGTTATCTGTTTTTCTGCCATCATTTTGCACCAGGAGTGTCCTACATTTTTTTTTATCATTATATAACCTTGCATGGCTGCGCTCGCCAATGCCACGGTGTGCAGAACGCAAGGAAGAGCATATATATATACATTCGAGCAATGTAATCATGTTGCACGTCAACAAAATGAATGTCAAGTCAAAAGTCAATATCTATTGTAAAAGAAGAGAGAAGGGCAGCTAAAATTCGACTCGTCTCGGCGAATTCATGTTTTCATGTGGAGAAAAAAAATATATTTTGTAATATGAATTTACGAACATTAACCGTTTTTATTGCAACGTGTCATTTTGCAAGAGGGTGAGATGTGATGTAATTATTTCGTTATCACGATGATTGTTATCACGCGTTCAGAAATTACCGAATTCACGCGTTTGAAGAGGAGTTCCAATGTCGAAGGGTTGTATCAATATAAGATTTCGTAAATTTCAAAGAAAATTACAAACAATTAGAAACAAACCTTTGTTTTAACCTCCTTAACTCGACAAATTTTTATCTTCATTTAATTTCAAAGTACAAGTTAAAAATTTAATGCTGTCATCGGAATTTTTTTATTTTTAATTATTAAATATCTTAAAGTCGTATGAGATTTTGAAATACAATTTTATTTATAATTTTATATTTTTTTTTATATACATATAAATTTAGAATATACTTTATATATTTGTATTTTGTAATTCTTTAAACTTTTCTGCATTACATAATATATAAAATTGTAAATAAACTTCTACCTTAAATGCTAGTGTAAATTATCTAAAGTGAATTTCAGTCATTAAGTTATTAGGAAGTATAAATAAGAATGAAAAAAAATCGTGTTACATTTTTATTATTTTCCCGTTTTCTATTCAAATTTTCAAATTCGAACATTTTATTTTATATAAAATATTTGATATTTATTCGATTGTATAAAATTTATGCAATTGACACTTTTAGGAATTGAATTTATTTTCTGAGAATTCAACTGTATGGAGCAAGTCTATATGTGCCTGTATCATTTGAATTTAATTAGGTACAAAATGATGCTGTTTGATTTTACGAATGCACAAAGCGTGGATGATTGGCGGGAAGTGTCCGACACCGTGAGAACAGTAGGAAAATCCAAGGCTGTCTTAACATTGCAAACAAGCCAGCTCTTCCAGAGAGCAGTCTTCTTCACACTGCTGAATCCACAACCGAATGGTGCCTGTTTCGCTGGAGTCAGAAAGGCTACAAATCTGGATCTGTCGACATTCAAAAATATCGATATCGTTTGTAGAGGACAAGGGGAAAATAGCCACTACAAGATATGCTTGAGACATCGAGGACAGAATTCCAACCAGGATCTCAGCTATGAACAATTTTTCACGGTAAAACTTCAAAATTTCATAGACTTTATCATTTATTTATTTTCACAGTGAAACATTCTTTCATCGATAAATACTTTCTACTTCAGGTGTCAATGTTGAATGAAGAATTTTCTAATGTGACATTACCTCTGAAAGACTTCAAACCTTATTATCGTGGACGTGAAATTCCAGATGCTGAATCTCTGGACACAGCGGCTATTACTATGTTTGAATTTCAAATTTATGGAGGCGTTTATGATCCTTTTCTTAAACAACATGGAGTGTCAGCATTAGAAATAGAAACTGTGGCCGTTTCTTCATAATAATAATTTTCTATCTTCTAATTATAATAAAATGTAATAATAAAAACAGAATGTATATTAAATAACCATTTTATGTATACATACTTAGATACTATGAATGTTAACTCATGAAAATGAATGAAGCAAGATTTGCTTCATGATGCAAAAAATTCAAATTTATTTCTACTTTCTATAAAGATATATATATATATATATATATATATATATATATATATAGTATTTATT